CTCCCCCATCTACACAAACAATTCATCACGAATGGAACTGTCAAGCTCCGTTGAAAAATGAAGATCGAAAGAGTCAGTTTGATAATGATCACACAAGCTCGACTCCAGGAATAGCGTCAGAGGTAACACAGGAGCGGCGGCAGCGGCGAAGGTGTAGCAGCCCAGCTCACCGTCGGCGGAAGTGGCAGATCACCGTCAAACCGCAGCGCTCGGTGCCTCAACCCTCCCCACCATTAATATTGACAACCCATCACACCACCGCCGACGCAGCCACACAGACACACAATCTACCTGTCCCAAGTCTGTTTTACAATGCTTGCATAAAGCAATGTACGGTTTCTAAGGTTTCTTAGGCATTAGTCTGAACCTGCAGCTTATACCGCCTCATTTCTCAAGCCTACAGGCATCAACTCCTTGCTTTCTTCTCTACCCACAACAACTGCCCTCACAACCGTGCGTCCAAAGGCCTCCAATGTCACCTGCAGGCTGCACGACGACCTACGCCGTTGCCATGTGAACACCAGAATGCCACCTTTCCTGCTTGAATCCCCCCCCCCCCTCTCAAACCCCTTCATGACGTGACGATCGCCGCCGCGTCCGGCACGCAATCTACTCTCATAATTATCTATTCAACCTTTTGTCAAGGCCTGCGGGAAACGGTGGAGACGCAAAGCGTCGAATGATGATTTAACTAACTAAACTAGATTAGGGAAGACCAGAGAAAAGCAAGCGTCTCACCGCCCTTATCTAATCACGATACGTTCACCGTAAAAAAGGGAGCTCGGCGAACCACACATGACCACCACACGCGCTATGGATCAATCGTGAATAATCTCGCAGCTACCATTCCCACGAATAACAAGCCACGGCGGACACGCCCATCACAGCACATACAGTGTTCCGGTGGTCACGTGTTACCTGGACTGCCTTCCGGTTTGGGGAAAAGATGAATAACAAATAACGAAAAATTACAGAGGGAAAGAGGAGGAATGAATTCCGAAAATAGAATGGTGGGAAAATGAGAAATGAACTACGGGTAAACAACGTACATAAAGAACCACTTTCATAACGAAGGTCGAATGCGAGTGCCCGTGTGCCTGTACCCAGGAGATGGCACTCGAGCAACCACCCCTGAAGATCACCTTCACTTACACACAATAAACATCCGGGATAAACCATGGTCGATAGACTAAAATGTAAATAACTAGAGAACAATGCAATCAGATCGTAACAAGCAATGACAACAAAAATATGGAGAACCCCTATAGAAGTCTAACCTATTGGGAGCAACAACCGACTTACAGACGAGTTTATCAACCCGCATGTAAACTTTTATACATATACACCGCCCGGCCGTGTGTTTACATATCCTACGTTATGTGTACAAGTCAGAGCCGAGAGACACGCGGGCAGGATCTCCATCTCCATGCTCTTGGCCTTAGTTTTGAGTTCAGAATAAACAAGAAGATCCAATGTGAGTAAGCATGAAGCAGTCTCGCGGGACCCGAGCGCCGAGGGGGTGGGGTAGGGCTGTAGCAAACCCTCCCCGTCCTCCTCCCCCTACCGCTGCCCACCAGTTCCTATTGTTCCCCGAAATGCTGGTGACCCACTGTTGTTAGGCCCACCACCACCACGCCGCACCATAGCCGACCACGGCCTCATCAGGGGGATGCAACACTTTCGTAGTGGCTGATGCGGTCTCCGTCTCTCTCTACTCGACCTGCTCGTCTCGCAAGTCGTTCTGCGCTAAGAGACTGCTTTATATTCTTTCGAAACCACACCCAGCTCAATCACCAGCGATTGTTGATGCAAAAGAATATAGCCTAAACCAACTGAAGCGTAACACCCCACAAGTAATCAGTCACTGCCTTCAAGCAGTCACCATGACCCTCGCCTCCGTCCTACGACGCAGTACTACTACTACTACTACTAAATCTCGAGAAGTAGCACGCAAGGACAATCAAAAGCCTGCTTGCTTGCCACCAACACCTG